TTTCTCCATCACAAAGTACCAATTTCCCTCATTTTAACAGATAATGTTTCAAAAAAAGAAAATTTCGGGCGCTACCCTCGAACCCACCCCTTCAACTCTGGAACTCCCCTACTTTGACGGGCTGGCTCCGCCCCTGCTCATTGGTCAAATTTCAAACCAACCCGACGTGCTAATTGAAAAATTAAAAGTTAATTTACAAAATACATATAACCTAATTAATGAAGAGAAAAATCAGATCCCTCTCTCGCTTTCCTCTCTCGCAACTCACGAACCCTAGCCAAAACACACCCCCACCACTACCAGCCCATCACTGCTGAAGTTACTCATGTCTCTCTCGATCATCTTATTATTATCTGCTTTTGGTAATGGAACCGAAGCTTGTACCTGCTTCGAATGTTTTTTTTTCCGAAGAGTCACTTTTCAGAGAATTAAAATCAAACGAGCGCTAAATGTTGTTGGTGTTCTCTGGTTGTGGAGCATTTGAGTCCAGAAGACAAAATTGCCTAACAAATTCAACAGAAAAACCCCATTGTGTAGTGAGCCCAAAAAAATTGGCCAACATAAAAAGGTCCCAACATGAATTGGTCCGAAGCCCAAGCCAATCAATCCAACTTAAACCGACCCAAGTTTGGTTGGATCGGGTTTCAACTGTGGACGTGTTGGTTCAATTCGATTTCTCAAGAAATCGAACTTATTGGGTAGGGTTCGGATTCGAGTTGGGCCCAAAACTCATCCAACGCTCAACCCTACTTGCAGTAGAGTAACAATTTAATAATATTTATATTGTTAAAAATGTGCCAAAAGGATGGGGTGTCTTCATGTTTCTTTGTACCCATCAAAAATAAATTTTTGAGATTAATGATTCGAAGACATCATTTGAAAAATAAATGCAAAGATCATGTTAACAAGATAATGTTCTCTTCAATAGCTACAAGAACACATCATCAACAACAATCTTATGATGCTTTATTTCAGGTTCTAATACTTGCAAAATGGATGATTCTCATTTCAACACTACCATTTTTCCAATCATATATTTTTTCTAAAGCTCTGGGAGGATAGTATCCAGAGAAATAAATACCATCAGGTTTTGCTGCATAATAGCATTCACCTGGATGACACCTTTCCTTCTTTCTTGACGTGAAAGCTTCAAATGCAACATCCAAGATAGCTCTCACAGAATTCCCAATGAAAATCATTATTTAATAGTAAGATTATGAAATCCAAGATAATCATCTCTAGATGCATAGTGTAATTAGATGTGTTAAGACGGACGGGTCGGCCAGACTCGTGAAAATCGGGACCGCGGGTCGATCCGTGACCCGTGCGGCGGTTCACGGGCTAAGAAGGTGTAACCTGCTACAGCATGCTACGCCTGCATGGTAAAAAAAATTTTTAATTTTTTTTTTACTTTAATAACGGTAATATAACTTTTC